AAAAACACCAATCTAGAAACAGGAAGTATTGCACTGCCAGTTGTGTGAAGAAATGAAATTTCAAATATTTGAGTCTGTGAGTTGACCTTTCAAAGTTATCAGATGTTTTTGAACATGCCAATACTTATGAAAGATTTCATCCTGATATTGTTATGTTTGGCTTCCAGTTGGCTAAATTATATGAGCAAACCAGAGTCAGCCTTTAATATCACCAAATCAATTCCTCACTCCACCACACAAGGTATGAGCTTCTTGTCCTGCTCTTTGATCTTTTAGAGAATCCAATAGAAGGTGAAGGCAGAGAGAGTGCACACTGTGGACACAGCAATTAGATTGATTAGAAAAAGCACCCACAATATTATACTCATTAATCTTATGCTGCTTAAGAACTCTGAAATAGACGTTAATTAGGTTGTTTTTACAGGCCACTGTTCTTGTTCTTGAGGCAATTATTACACACACCCCCACTGGAACTTAAAAAGAAAAACGTGGTCCGTAGGAAACTGTGGCTATAAATTTCAAAACAGAAAATAGCTTTGTGATTTAAGAAGTGTTTCATGAAAAGGGTTGTAGAAGGGGGTATTTCTTATTGAACATTTTCTGATCTTAATGCCTAGAGCAGTGATGGCTAACCTTTTTTTTAAAAATTTGATTTATATGCTGCCCTTCTCCGGAGACTCAGGGCGGCTTACAAGGCGTTAAGCAATAGCCTTCATACTTTTGTATATTTATACAAAGTCAGCTTATTGCCCCCACAAACTGGGTCCTCATTTAACCTACCTTAGAAAGGATGGGAGGCTGAGTCAAACTTGAGCCTGGTGAGATTGCAGACAGCTGGTGTTAATCACAATGCTTTTAGTCTGCTGAGCCACCAGGCTTTTTGTCATCGCGTGCCAAAAGTGGGGGGAGTGCGGGGTGGTTGCGCATGCGTGTACCCACACCCATAATTCTATGGGCCCTGCCCTCCCCATGCATGCACACGCGACCACCCCGTGCTCCTCCCGCTTTTGGCATGTGACGGCACGATGGACCCGGTAGCCCCATTTTTTGCCCTCCCCAGGCTCCAGAGGCTTTCTAGGAGCCTGGGGAGAGTGAGAACAGCCTTCTCCACCCACCCACCCCGGGAGGCCAGAAACAGCCCATTTGCTGACTTTCAGTGGGCCCAGAAGGCCCAAAAATCAACTGGCCAGCATATGCATGCGTGCTGGAGCTCAGCTAGGGCAACGCTCATGTGCCCACCAGTATGGCTCCGCGTGCCACCTGTGCCATGCGTGCCATAGGTTCGCCATCACAGGCCTAGAGCAATAGGTCTCATTTTAATAATGTAGGAGGGATCCTTCTGAATCGGAGCAAAAGCCAGCTCGGTATCCTATTTCCCATGGATAAATTAGTTTGTGAGAATCCCACAGCAAGGACCTGATGATAGTAGTATCCTCTATTTGACCCCTAACAACTGGTCAGGGGCATCCAGAGAAAGCTGAAATTTCCTCAAAATGACCAGATGTGCATTGTGCTGTCACATTGCAAGTTCAGCCCCTTGTGTAGTTACATGCAATGAACAGTCCATCGCCTTCTCCCCTTTTTCACTCTGCCATTGTCACTCATGCGACTGGTCATTGACAGATACAGTTAGTCCTCAATCTACAAGAGTTCATTTAGTGACTGTTTAAAGTTACAACAGCATTGGAAAAAGTGACTTCTGATTGTTTTTCACACCACCTTTGAAGCATCCTCGTGATCATGTGATCAAAATTCAGATGCTTGGCAACTGGTTTATACTTATGATGGTTGCTGGGTCCCGGGGTCACATGATCCCCTTTTGCGACCTGACAAACAAACTCAATGGGGAAGCCAGATTCACTTAACAACCATGTTACTAAGTTAACAACAGCAGTGATTCACTTAACAACCATGGCAAGAAAGGCTGTAAACTGGGGCCAAACTCACCTGACAAATGTCTCACTTAACACTATAAATGTTGGGCTCAATTGTGGTCATAAGTGGAGGAGTACCTGTAAATTTCTGACCTTGAATTTTTTTTTTTTTAAAAAATAAAACCTCTCTGGCTTGTTTTGGCAACTGTATCAGTTCTTAATTGCTTTTCTTTTGGCTGCCATAGGCTTCGAATCCTCTAAGGTAGAAAACAATGCAGATTTCATTCAGATTTCAACGTGCCAGGATTGGCAAACAAAGACATTGCTGAGCTTGCTGAATTACTCCCTCCTCAGCCTTGTTTCTTAGGAAGCTGACAATGATTAAAGAGAAAGAACAGAGAGGGAGAAAAAGGATGGGCAGTCACCTAGAGTGGTAGCTTTATTTGTTAAACAGACCAGGATTAGTCTATATAATAGGCCACAGTACTTAAATGGAAAACCCAAATAGTAGAAAAATAACTTTTGCTAAGGTGTTTCATCGTCAAAGTGTTTCTCCTTGAGTGTGCCTTCTATTGATGACTCTCAATATACATATTTCTTTTACATATATTTCATTGCTTTAGATCAGGGGTGTCAAACTCACATTGTCACGGTGTCATCATGTGATGACTTTCCCCCCTTCGCTAAACCAGGTGTGGGGACGTGGCCAGCACGTGACACATTCGGGCCGCGAGTTTGACACCCCTGCTTTAGATATTTAGGCGTTTGTGAATTTCTGAAACTTAAAAAAACCCAAACCTTTGACATGCTTTGTTAGCTTGGTTTATATTTGGGAGGTGTAATCATTGTGGCCTCATCTCACCTGAGAAGGAATCTTATTTCCTTTAAATTGCCATTCTAGCTCTGGTGCCATCCCATACGGCAGTGTAGCTTAAGCTCAGGTGCCAATTTTTATAGTGGTAGCTGCTGGTAATAAAGAGTTTACTGCTTGTTGTCTGGATAATATATTAGCTGTCTTACAGCCTCTGATTGTGGATGAGGAATTGCCATGATTGTTAATTATTCGGTTTTGGGTAATGCTATTTTTCATCTCCTGATTATTCTTCCTCAGCAAGAATCCACAAATTCTAAATGAGTGTAAATTTCTGACTCATTCCTACAACCTTCTTCTCACGATATATTGTTCATATGCTAATTAATGAGGATTCTGTTTTGTATATTCAGACAAGCACATATATACAAGGGGCCTCAAATAAAATACTGGGTGCCATTAAAGGTAGCAGAAAATGAGGTGGACAGGTTGAGTTAATAGACCACAATCCTTAAGCAAATCCTCTTGATGGAATCTTATTAAAATGGGTGGGCATTGCAGAAGTAGCTATAGGAACAGTGTAAGGCCACATGAAGGCACAACTTTTATTTATTTTGATAAGTTATATGTAGCATATTTTCCAAAATAGATGTGCCATAGTGACACAGATACAGGTATATTTAGCAAGCTGTCATTTAGATTTCCTTCGTCGGATGGCATGAGTGACCCTGTATAAGGGCAGGATATGATTAGGTGACTTTCTTTGGGGGTATACGCTTCCAATATATACAATGAAAGAAGCTGTGTCAGAAGCATTGAGTGAGATGGGTGGTTCAAAAATGTGAAAAATAAATAAAATAAATGGATTCTTACTTCGCTTGGGTATAGTTTTATTCTGCAAAAATGCATTTTGTTAGAATTTAAGGACCCTCTCTTTGATCCAATCTGCTCTTCCTCTTCGTATATTTTTCTCAGAGGTAGTTGAGTTGATACATAGCATTGAAAAAGACAACTAGTAACTATTCCCAAACTGCAAGTTGCTATAAGATGCTAAAACAAGGTTGGCAAAAGAGGGCAAGATGATCTTGTACGTGGAGAAGTGGGATAAGGAATCAGTGAAAGGGAAAGATTGAGATACAAGAAGTAGCAATGCTGTATTAAAGAGGAAAGATGCCTAGAGAGAGGAAAACAATTCTAGATTTTTCTCCAGCACTTCTCTTCCACCGGAATGGGTTCCACTTGAACCTGTCTCTGATGAAAACTGTGGAATAGATAATGAGACTGCATGAATGTTCTGAGAAGATTGTGTGAGATCTGCTCCTTTTCTGCTTTCCTCTTCCTTCCACCTATGTTCTTTTCTCCCTCCCTTGCTGAGCATTATAATCGCTTATCAAATTTCAGGAGCCCAACTTTGTAACTAGAACATTTGATGATCTTCTAGTAGGGGGAAAAAAAAACCAATTATCTGACTTTGCATAGTCCTTCATTCAGCTGTAAGTGAAAAAACAGCAAAATGGAAGAGGAGAGAACTGCTGTCAGGTTTTCTTTTCTTTTTTTTTAAAAAAGAATTTTTTATTTATTTTTATTTCTCATAAACATACATAAGTGTACAATCTCTTATCATACGTATTATCTTTTAACCTTCATATTAGTTCATTATACTTGACGTTGCTCTTCTACCATTCCATCTCCCTTATTTCTCAACAATCCTTCCTCTTCTTCTCCCCCCTTTCCCTTCCCTCCCTTCTTCTATCCTTTTCTACTTTCTTCTTTCCTCCTCTCCTACCCCTTCACTATTTCCTCTTCCTTTCCCCTACTCCTCCCCTCTTCCTCCCTTTCTAACCCTCTCTCCTACTCTTATTTCCCCTTCTTTTCTTCTTCTCCTTTCCCCTTTCTTCTATCCCTCTCTCTCGGGTTTTCAAGATTCTGTTATTTTATCTTCTGATCGTAGAGTTCCAACAATTCTTGTGATGGTCTGTTTTCTGATCTGGTCTAGTTTGAAGGGCTGATGTAAATTCTTCACGACTCAGAATGAATATGGCGTTTAGTTTTATATGTTGAGTGCTGGTCTGCAACTCACATTGGACATAAAATTGACCTTTGGAATCACCTGTTCTGTAGCTACGACATTGCTAATTTTAGCCATGTGAGCAATAAACTGGAAAGAGTAGGTAAATCCTAATCTTTGCAATGGGATAGGATTACTATCAGTCATTGAAAGTGGTAGGTAGAAAGATGAGATACCATAGGATAAAGCAGGTTGACATTGAAATTGCTTTATTCAGCAAAAGCTTATCTCATTTATGTATTGTCAGGCTGGAGATGACGGAACATCACTATATTTCCAACAAAACATCCCAACATGCCTTATTATCTCATTCTGATTATACCTGGGAATATGAATATTATGAATATGGCCCAGTTTCTTTTGAAGACCTCAAGGCTCACAAATGTAAGTCTTATCTGGATGCTTTATGTGTCCAAATCCTCTTTTGCTCCTTCTCAATGATAAATTTTAAGATGTATATTTTGAATTCAGTTTCCCCACCCCTTCTCCATTACAGATTCCATTGTGATCGGATTTTGGGTCGGCCTTGCTGTCTTTGTCATTTTTATGTTCTTCGTGCTGACCTTGCTGACCAAGACCGGAGTACCACACCAAGAGTAAGTCCTGCTGCTGGCACTGAAAAACCATCATCTCTTTTAGCTGAGCGTTTTGGAGCAAATGACTCAGGGATTTACATTGCCGTGGACCAAACAGCCAACTTGTACTGCTATTTAAGAATTATTCCAAAAAGTATAATAACTGCTAATGCCAGAAATGCTATGTGTTCACAATTAAATCTAAATATTTCGTAACAAATGTATGTACTTTGTTCTACATGAAAATGTAAACATTGCCCTCGGTTATTGAAATGCATTACTGATGTTGGAACAGCTGAGCGAGAGAGACACTTTTCACCCAGAACACTAAGAATTGCAAATTGATAATATTTGAGAAATATTATCTATTTTCAGGACCCAGGTAGTCCTTACTTACCAACTGTAATTGGGACTTGGAAGCCGGTCACCAAGCAGTGCGGTTGTAAGGCGCATCATGTTGACGATGCTGACTTACAGTAGTAGTTCCAGCAGTTGTCATCTTTAGGCAAATCCTGAGCAGTCAACAGCGTTCTACAGACTTGATCGCCATCTGCAATTTCTTGCTGGCTTCCCCATTGACTTTGTCAGAAACCAACAGGGGAAAGTCACAAATGGTGATTGTGTGATTGCAGGGGCCCTGCAACAGCCACAATAATAATAATCTTTATTGTCACTGCACAACATATGTACAATGAGATTGGTGGAGTTCCCTAGTGCAACTATGAAGACCTGTGATAAGGATTTCTCATTGAGCATTGTCAGAACTTTGAATGGTCCCTGAATGAGCATATGTTAAGTGAGAACTACTGTTTAAAATAGGACATGTTTAAGTTCATCCTCAACCAGGGAAGTTCAGTGAGTGACATTTTGTGCCAATCCCTTCATTTTAGCAGATTCTTAAGTTACCTCACAGGATTGTTGGGGGAAAAAATGAAGGGAACGTAACATGGCCGCCATGAGTTCCTGGAAGAATGGCAGTGAATAATTCCAATTAATTAACAAACATTAATAAATATGTTTTGGCACTTCCTGTTTCACACTGTGCACCTAAATGACACTGTAATAAAGTTCTTATCCATTGTTCCTCTCTCTTTGCTTCATAGGCGTATAAATTCTTCTGAGAAAAAACTCTGCACAAACAACTTTGTAGCTGATTTCGGACAGCCGCTGGATTCTGAGCGAATTTTTTCTCAGCAACTGTTTCTCCATTACTACATCAATGAACTTGAGGACACGGATAGAACCAAGCAAAGTCACAAGGTGCCAGTTATGGACACTAGCATCCACTTCCAAGAAGTTATTGAGAACAGTGGACGACTGGAAGAGGAGCTGAATTGCCATACGAAATTCAACATTCCTAACTTTGTGAATTATGATTCTCTGGGTGAAGATGACTTGTTAATTTCTGAGCCATCTATCATTTTGGAGAACAAACCAGTGAGTCAAGTCTCTCGCCAGATTCTTGACTGAAGAAACTTGAGCAAAATGTCAATCCTTGCAGCTGGTAGCATCACTCTCTTTGGATGTCCATTAAAAGAGAATACCCTTTTCTTGTATTTCCATCCCATCTTACCTTTATAGGTTTCAGGACTTTGGCTAATGAAACATGCTTTAGTTTAGTGCATGACATGGGATTGGTTTGGAATGCATTTCCTTCTTTAAGGTCTCACATTTTTAAATTTACACATTTTGTTCTTTAGAACAGGGGTCCCCAAACCCTGGGCAGTGGCCCACTACTGAGCCTCAGCCTGATCGGAATTGGGCCGTGGAAGTGGTGGGCAAGCATGCGCATGGCTGGAAAGTTTGGGGACCGCTGCTTTGGAAAAACAAGTTTGAAGTTGCAGTGAGATTCTGTTACACTCTATACAAAGAAAAGCATTCTATCAACTTCTGTGGAGTCTATAAATTCCACAATTCTCATAGAACGTATGTGCTGAATTTAAACAGGCTAATGTCAAGATAGAAAAAAAATTCTGATGTCAAAGAAATTGGGTGCAGTCATATTCTGAAATAAATCACCTCACCATTACTGATTTAAACCCTGTGTTAAATGCTTGCATTCACTCTTCTGCACTGATGCAGGTAATGTTGCAGCAAAGTAGCATTTATAAAGCACTGTGATGTGATGCGGTCAAATGTCTTTATGAAATCCGGTTTTCAATGTCTTGAGAGTCATATTCTACTTTATAGGAATAGATGGATGTCTGTTACTGTGCTTATTACCCATTATACTGTACCAGATATTCCCAACAAGAGTGAAACTAAGAGCAATAAAACAAAAATTGTACTTATTCCGGAATACAGCTTTTGCCTTTTTATTAAAAAAGAATAAGAAACCTAGATGCATAATTATAACTTACAGCATATATGTTTCTCTTAAATCTGATGGCTTCAAAAGTACTTGATTTTTAGGCTGCTCAAGCCAAGCAGTAGCTTAGTTTAAACTGGGATTTGAGTTGCATTGCATTTAGCAGTTTCTAAAACACCAAGGAAACCTCTATTCACTTCTATTAACTACATTAAGTCAATGCTTTAGCTACGACGCTGGGAGGGTTGAACAGACCTTTCCGCCCCGCTTATCCCCAACAGTTGGGTTCCATTCTAGGCAATGTCTCTCCTCTGGCTGGTCACTATATGGGGTTGTCAGTCAACTCCTTCCTATATGTTGCTGGTCACTATTCTGGGGCTTCTGCATTAGCAAAGAAAGTTCCATATAAGCCTGAGCCCCATTGTGTTTTGTGAGGCAGTTCTCAGACATTACATGGATTTCTTCAACAACATTGATAAATAGTAGTATGAAAAATTGATTCTTTAACCCTACTGGCAGAGTGGTGATATGTTGTCTTTTAAACCATTCATTGGTAGACAAGTGAAACAGCGGTTATTTCCTTGCATGTTTACTTGTTCATCCCACCCATTTGGAGCTGGAGTGGCTTGTAGCTTGAAGTGGCCTGGCATTCAATTGCTTAAATCATCTGCGGCAAAACCCTTGAACTATGTCTGTTATTAACTCCACTGGTGAAAATAAGTGGAAGCACATGATCTAAAAGCAAGGAAACGGAGGGACAGAAGGCAGGGGGAAATTGGTGATGGTGGGAAGGGGAAGGCAGGGTCCACTGTGGTTTTTAATGTCAAGTGTGAAAAACCAGGTCCATACATGAAGGCTCAAATAAACAGATTTATTGCTAAAAGCTTATGCACAGGTAACTTCTCAAGCAAAGATCAGTATGCTTGTGACTATGTAATGATTTTTAACTGATGCTTCTTTTAACTCCTCCCCCTGGCTCTGCTAGCCCTTCTCCCACAGTTCAATCTCTCGTGGAAAAAGTATAGCAAGGAACAAACAAACCCCAAACCTTTTCCTAAGAACAGAAAATAACAAATAAGGAAAAAAAAAAAAACCCACTGAAATTCTGTGTCTATTTTTCATGTTTTTATTGTAAGCTGCCAAAATGGATAGCATATTAAGTGAACAAACAAACAAACAAGAGGGATAATTCCCCCCTTCCCCGATCCCCTCCCTTCTCTCGACATCACAAATGGCTACTGGACTTCCAGATTAGAATCCTGTTATGTTTTTGGCTTGTTGACATTCTCTTAGTGGCTCTTGCTAAGTAAATGCTGGTAGAAAGTATCTTTGGATGGTAAAATATGGGTGGCCCCATCTCCTCATCAGTATTTTAAAGGGCAGTGAATGGCTTATTGTAAGCAAAAAACTCCTGCACTGAGCAGGAAGTTGGACTAGATGACCTTGAAGATCCCTCCCAAATGTATGATTCTGTAACTGCTGGGTATTGTTTACTCATGCAAATATAAACCATCAAAGACCCACCCATGAAAAGTGATGCTTGCTCTCTGATTGTTGGAGCTAAAGAATTCCAAAGAAAGTCCAGTTGCCTCTTGAAAAAGCACCTTTGGTACAACCATGACCTGGATGACTGAGAATCTCCATCGACACTGAGCTAAAGAATCAAGATTGGGACCAACCAGGTAGACAGAAGACCTGGCAGGCATTTTTTTTTTTTTTTAAATTTGATTTATATGCCGCCCTTCTCCGGAGACTCAGGGCGGCTTACAGTGCGTTAAGCAATAGCCTTCATACTTTTGTATATTTATACAAAGTCAGCTTATTGCCCCCACAAACTGGGTCCTCATTTAACCTACCTTAGAAAGGATGGAAGGCTGAGTCAACCTTGAGCCTTGGAGAGATTCGAACCAGCAGTAAATTGCAGGCAGCTGTGATAATAACAGGGTGCTTTAAACCACTGTAGTACCAAGGCTCTTTGTTGCCACAGCTTGACATCCAGGCAGTGGTTAGTCTGGCTTCATAACCAACTGGCATCACCCAGTAGACAAGGAGCAAAATGCTACAATGTGGAATTGCCCTAAGACTACAAACAAGTGGAAGTCAATGACACTGCCTTGGAAATGTGGTACTTTCATTGATTAAATAACATGCCCAGAACGCTGATCAATAATGAAATATGTCACATTTAGTCATTACAAAAAAGAAATGTAGCTAGACTCGAAAGATGATGGTCACACTTAGCTCTCAACATCAAACAGATCTGAATGCCAGAACCTTTTGGGAGATTGTAATTCAACACACATTAGAAGGACAGGAGCTCCACTGTAGATCACATTTGCTCTTTGATGATGTTCCATCAAGTCGTTTTCGATCCCTAGTGACCACATAGGTTTTCTCCAGCCAAGACAATCTATCCCTAACCAGTTCTTTCAGGTCCGTTAATGGAATCACCACTGTAACTGGGTTCATTGACAAAATTTCTTTCAGCCACTGGAAGCGTTTGCTGATCTGAACCCCTTGTCACTGAGGCAGTTTCTAAATGCTGAAAAGCCTACTTACGTACTTCCCTTACAGTTGTGTTGGCTGTTGCTGTTTTTATGCAACAACTGGATGAGTTTTGTTTATCAACATCGTCTGGCCATATTTTAGTCCTAATAGAATTCCTTTCTCATTTAATGAGAATGCTGCTTGCGGTTAGCATTACCCAGAATTGTTCCATGAATCTCTCCCCTTATGTTACTCTAGCTTTCTTGCCAATGGACCAAGGGGGCGGGAGCTGAATTCTTTTCTAAAGACAGTGGCCATGTCCTCCCTGAAGGCTTCTGTCTCTCTTTTCTCCTCTACCATTGGAGGCAATGGAAGGGGTTGCTTTTTTCTAAGAGGGAGATCCCTGATTGCGGAATGGGGCAGGGATGGGGCTTCCTTCTAAAAGAACATGAAGAAATGCCAGGCTCAGCCCTGCTTAACGCTTGAAGAAAAACCACCTGGCAGCCGAGACTGACAATGCTGTCATTAAAATAAGGAGAGAGCTATGAAACATCAGCATAATCAGCGTGGGAATGAATGGGAAATGGAAAATGTGTCTCTCAGGAGAGTAGTAGGTATAAACAAAGCTGATAATTTGTTATTGAAAAACATAGCCGACACAACAGTTTTCAAATATTTTATAAAAGCCAAATAAGATTCTAGAATATTTTATGAATTACTCCTATGCTAACTATTTTTTGCTGAGTGCAATACACAGTATTTTTATATGACACTTTGATATTAATCTTAAAACTGCTTAGACCTATTCAGTAGACTTGGACTGCAATAATTGTTTATACCTTGAATGAGCTGTATTACTTTACCCAATTTTACATAGTTGGCCTTTGATCATAAAAGCCTAAGGTCATACAATTAATAAGGGGAGATATTCTATTCTTCCTCCAAATCCACTCAGAATGCCACATTAAGTGCTCTAATTGGGCCACAATCAGTTAAGCCAGCTGTGATATTGGGCATTTAGCAATACTTAATGGGACAAGAATCCAGTTAGAGATTACAAAACTGAGTAGGTTTTTTTTTTACTAAATATTTTCACAAATAAACATGATGCCTCAGAGATTTTACTGCAATTGTTGGAAATAACTATAATTTTTTGCTGACTAAAATAAAAAAGCAAGCCTTGTGAAAACAACCATTATGTTCTGTCCCTATGGTTACCAGTGCCTCATCATCTCCAATTGCTGTGTCATCCAAGCTTCTCAGAACTCTTGTGAGGTAAAAAAAACAAAACAACTGGTAATCTTTACAAAAATCTAATCACATCTACTAAAATGTTTAGTAAAATATATTTATTTTAAAATATGAAAAATTTTAAAGGATAAAAAAAAATAGATTTAAATTCTAGATTTAACTCCATTTTTAGTAGAAATCTGGACCGAGTCAAAAACACTAACCAGTGACCTTTACAGAATTTCCGGTTATTTCTAGTTTTATTAGAGCTCTCAGTCTCTGATTTACTCAGATGTTCAAATTTTCCAATAATTTTCTGGCATATTTGAGCTACCTGGTGTTATAACGACACCTTGTTTCTGCAACTGCCGTAGAACATCTAACATTGAATCTAGTTCAATGCGGAATTTTTCCAGTTCTTGATTCTTCAACAGAGCAAGTTTCTTCCATTTCTCGGTTTCCCGAAACTGTTCAACTTCTACATTGTATCGTGTTTGTTGTATTACCTGTACAGTATGAAAATAGTTATTGCAAAACACATGCTGATCAATATCTCCAAGTCTGTTTTATTCTTAGAGCATTTACAGCAACAACAATGGTAAAATTTAATTGAAAAAAATTCTTGCACTAAGAGATATGCCTCACAGTACCAGCCCATGGAGTTTAAGGTAAACTCTTTTAAACTCTGTATGTTATTCAGATGTTTCTCTTAAAGAAACCTCCCATGGCTTGTAATAAATTCAGTTCATGCGTACCGAAGGATATTGCCCACAAGTATCTTTGCAAAATGAAAAAAGATAGGACGGCCCACTGATTCTAGAAGAATGGGGACTTGGCAACATGTGAAATGGCCTTGAAAAGTAATTCTGAGAACAAATTCTTCATGTAAAAATACTATGAGACACAATCTTTGAATTGATTAAAAGCCCTTAATTCTAGACTCATTATGAAGAGAACCTACAAAAATTTGACAGGGGAAGTAGTGTATGGACAAATTTATAACAGTTGCCACAAATGACTTGTTTTCTTGCCTTTTTTTTAAAAAAGATAGCTTCAGAAGCTAGAACTGAGAAAAGATTATGGTGCCGTTGGCAGAGCCAACACTAGCAAGGAGTGGGAAGGGAGGCTTTCTTTCCTGGCTTCTGACCTCTCACCTGGAAAAGCCTTAATCCCCATGTGTCCAAATACCCATTCTAGTGTCTAAGGAGGAGGTAGGGGAGGATTAAGAAAACTCCTTTCTGAATTCACCCTACTGCAAGGGCAGAT